GGGAAAATTAGAGGGGAAGAAGAGAATTGCAGGGAAATGATGTGGGTATTCAGGCACACAGGCTACCAAGTGTAACAGTGATTGACATGGGGCAGAGGATGGTGCCTACAAAGGGGTCTGGTTTGTCTTCTAGAGAGTTTCTGGGGGACTCATGTGCCTCCTAGTCCAAGGGGCCACCTCCTGCAGCATGATTTTCAGCTTGAGGTGCAAAAGGTCTTTCCCTTCTCTCCCTCTCCCTGAGCTCAACAGGTCCTCATCAAACACGGAAACAAGCAGCACATTTCTCCATATCATGGTATGCTGTGCCTGGAAATAAGCACAGAGGTGCTTCCTAGGAAAAAGAAATACCCTGTTTCTCATGCAAGTGGTTGGGCTGGAAAGGAAGGTCTGGATGTGGCAAGGCCATGCTTGGTGTTACATGAGGGGACAAGCGAAACTTTAAAATCCTCCCTTCAGACCCCAAAACCTAGGGGTTTGATCAAGGGGGATTCCTGACAGGGCAACTTCCCAAGGGAATCTGTATTTAACAGCAGGGAAGTGTGGTAGGATGCATTTCCCTAGGGAAGTGGAGATCAGAGGGAGGAGAGACAGGGGCAGGCAGCCAAGGGAGGCAGAGTAGACTGGTATGCACCGGCTGCATTTCCTCAGGGGAGATTCATCTCAGATGCAGGTATGTCTTCAAAGGGGACATGGGGCTGCAGGGGAGCACATGCTCCTGGGCTGAATTACCCCCCCTGGGAACTCCAGTAGAGAGGCAGGTGCCAGCCATTTCCCAGGGGATAGCTGTAGTTTGCCACTGATTTTCCTAACAAAACTTAGCGCCGCGGGATCTTCCAAAACCTCGTGCAGCCTGGAAAAGCCAGGGACCATTAGCGGCTGAGGCTTTGCAGGCAGTAAATCTGCTGGCATCTCCCATTTTGTCCAAGCTCCTGCTAGAGGAACGGTCCTAATGCAGCTGGCCAGTCTGCAGGGCTGGCTCTGGGCACAAGCCCTGCAAGACGTCCTTCCCCACTTTACTGATGCAGGAAATTGCAATTCCCACTTTACTGATGCAGCAAATTGCAATCCAGCATCCATCTTCGGAAAAAAAAAATTAAAGCAAACTCTCTCAAATCTCTCTGGCAGGAGTGTATCGTGTGGCACACACGGTGAAGTTTCCCTCACTGAATCCCACATCAGGAAGTCTGAGCTCCCAGCTGAGCCAGCTGGCAACCCCCCTGCCTCTTGACCGAACCCGAGGGGCAGAGCAGTGTCCTTGTGCCCCCTGCCCCTTGTAAAGGCACTCCCTCCTTTGCCAGCCAAAGGCAGCCCTCTCCCCCATCCTCGGCGTGGGTCAGGCAGAGGTTTGATGGATTGCAATCTTCCTCCATCACGGTCAAAACAAAGGTCACGGCCCGAGGAAATTGCAAACAACTTTTGCCCACCGGCCCCGGAAGAACGGGTGCACTCATGACAAGGGGGTGAACTTTTTATGATCTCTCCACCCCGGCAGCCTCTTTGGGAAAGGAATTTTAAAAAAGTGGCCAGGGAACATGTGGCCTCCGGGAGCTGACAGAGGGAGGAGGGGGCAGCCCTGAAACGCTGCTCCGGGCCCATGGCAAGCCCCTGCCCCTGCCCCTTGCCACCTCCTCCCCTTCCTCCAGAAAAGCTGCTCTTGTCTCTTTGCTGCTGGGCAAATACGGGGTCCATCTGGGGACCAGCCTTTAGGGCTCTTGTTAGGGTCCAGAAAAGCTTTATATTTTTCTGTTAGTGCCTGGGAGACCCTGACATCCATTATGTGTGTGTATAAATATGCAGGCACCAACGCTGCACCTCAGACTGAGCTTATGGCTGGGAGCAAGGGGTTCGGGTCTGTTCCCAGCTGCCCCACCAGGCAAATGGCTTTGCTTTGCCTTCCTGTGCCCATGATTTCTCCACCAAACAAAAACTGCAGCAGCTTTGAGGGCTGGAGGAGATACAGCAGGGTCCCACCCCTCCAAAGACCCCCGGCTGCTTGGAGAAGTTGCATTTTACATCCCAATGTGGGACAAAAATCAGAATTTCGAATTTATGAATGCATATATTTTTCCTAATACTTATAAGCAAACATTAGAAATTGTTTCAGCCCAAATCCGAGTCTTCCTGAGCTACCCCAAATGTCTTAGTCCTGCCTTTCTGTGCAAGGTAGTGTCTCCCATGCTAAAGTTGTGATTAAAAGGAAAATTCAAGATGGGAACTTTACCTGCAAGAGTCTTTATTTTTTGGGGGAAATATATAAAGCCAACCCTCCCCTTCCAAAGAAAACCAAACCAAAACAAAAAAAAACAAACAAAAAAAGAAAACAACAAACCATTGATGGGTGCAAAGGCACTCTGTGTCTTCCCCCACCACTAGGTAACCCCCGAAGATGCATCATCCATCAAATTTAGCAAAGCCTGCCCGGAGTCTGAGTTCTCCCCAGGGGCTACCCCATAACAGGGTGGGGGATATGAAGGGCTGCCATTTATTTCCACATCCAAACTGGGCACTAAACAAGTCCCTGTTGAAACTGGTTCATCCAATCCATCCCTAAATCAAGCCTACATGAAGTACTGAGTTGCTTTGAAATGGCTGCACAAAAAATCTGGGTTTGGGAAGCATCCCAGCTCTCTGGGAGAAGGAGGCTAGAAGGAAAGTCAAGAGTTTAAAGCCTCAGTCTAAGAGCTCAGGAAAGCTCACTCTGAGCAAGGGGTAGGGGTAGCTTTGCCAACCCATGGAGGCAAGGAAAGAGGAGAAGAATCAAGAATTGTGGACAGCAGAAAGTAGAAAGAAAGGTAGAAAAAATAGGGGGATTCGTGGCTTGGTCTGATGCCTCCTGTTACCCTCACGGCCTGTTACCCTCATGATAGCATCTCATCAAAGTTAGGATGTGGCATTTCCCATAGCACAGATAAGCTTTGTCTTTGCCTGGACTGCAAGGCAGCTCTAAAAGCTGCCCCTTCCCCAGGACTGGTTCCAATTAGTGCTGACTCCACTCAGTGCTGGCTTAGCCCCAGGATTAAAAATCTTCCCGTGCCAATCCCCTCTGACCCAAACACTTCCTGGGACTGATAGGGCGACCAAATTCCTCCCCTTCCTAAATTGGACAGCTTGCTCTCATCACCCCGAACTCTGGCTCCTGCAGAGGGGAGAGGGGGAAGGGGGTTATGTGACAGAGAGCAGCCCTTCATCCTCCCCAGGAGCAGGGAGCCAAGTTCCTCGGACAGCCTTTGCAGGGCCTGGAGCTGCAGCCATGCTGGGGAAGTGCCCAGCTGGGATGTTTGCCCTGGGCAGCAGGGGCAGGCAGCTCTGACACCCAGCTGGTGGTTTTGGGGTACTCAAGATGTCATCACATCTCAGGCTCCTCCCAGTGCCCAGGATGGGAATGTGCTCACACTAGTTCTTGCTCCTGGGAGCTTCTTGCATAAAATATGCAAGTATGTGGAAGGATAAGTCACTCTCAGACCCAGCCATGGAGGTGAGGCCCCGGGGCAGGGATGCCCTGAGGATTTAGTCTGGCCAACTAGAAAACAACAAACCATTGATGGGTGCAAAGGCACTCTGGTTCTTCCCCCATCACTAGGTATCCCCCAAAAATCCATCATCCATCAACTTCAGCAAAGCCTGCCTGGGCTCTGAGCTCTCTGCAGCTCACTTATCTTCGGAAAATGCTGACAGCCTCAGGGGATGAACTCTGCTGCTTAGGGCACACAAAGGGGAGCTGTGAGGACAGGATGAGGCCCCTGGTTTGGTCAGCAAGCGTGGGGTCCCGTGTCAGGGACAAACATTTTGTAAGCATCACTTTGCAGAGACAGCTTTGGTACTGAGAGCATGGGAGAGAGCTTGCTGGGCTTGGGAGCAGCCCCAGCCCCAGGGAGGCTCTGGCAGGAGGGGCACATGGAGCCCATGGAGTGAGCAGGCTGCAGCTGCGAAGCTGTTTCGGCAGGAGGAGATGTGTGTTACCAGCCCTGGAGGAGACAGAGGGAGCTGTAGAGGAAAGGGAAGGGGCCTGCAGTGTGCACCCAGAAGCCTTCGTACCCCCAGTCTCCTGCTGCTCATCCCCCCATGCCCTCTTTTGCTGGCACCAGCTTTTAAGGATCATTGCTTTGATTTTGTCCTGATGCAAAGCTGCTGAATCAGCAGAACCGAGCAAGTTATTTATTCAGGGACCAGCTGAGCAAGGGCCAAGTGCAAGCTGCCTCCATGCACCTACAGCTGGCACCTTCCAGCACGAAAACAGTACAGCCAGTTCCCTGTGAGAGAGAGCCAAGTTGCCTTTAAACGCCTCTCTGCTGGGGGGGCTGCGGCCCCTGCCCCATCTCACATGAGAGATTTAATAAACAGCAAATGGCAAGTGACCTTTTGGGTCCAATATGGATTTGGACCACCGTGCATGAGCTTGAAAGGCTTCTCATTCCTCCAACAGCCCCCGAGGGGGGGGCTCATACCCTGTGCTGCTCAGCATTAAAGCAGCACAAAGGGGAACCACACAGGCTACACCAGTTCCTCTTTCGCAGCAGCATCGCTCCACAGGCTTTACTCAAGGGCAGGCACTGCTTTTAAAGCACAGAGGCTTCACACAAGTGTGGGGGACCGGACTACCTGCACCCCAAAGCCACGTGGTGTTTTGGGGAGAGAGGCAGGCTTTCCAGCACACCTGGGCTGCAGGAAAACCCACAGCCCACCAGGGACTTCGGAGGGAAAGCAGTGACACCATCGCATTTCCACAACTGGGTTGTTCATAGGCAGACAGCTGTGCTTCAGAACGGGAAATGATCCCAATTAGCTTTCCAGGTGCTCTCTTGTAAATGGATTTCAGGTGGTACAAACGTGTCTGACTGCAGTTCAGGGCTTTGTCTCTGAAAAAAGCCCTCTGTGTTACCATCCCACCCCCATCCGCTTCCCCTCACAAAGGAAGAGGAAGACCATCCAGGAGACAAGAAAACACACATACAGCAAGGGTGATTGCTATTTTAAGAATGTACTTTATACAAAATAACCAATTTATATGGAAATAAAATCTACAGACCTCCAAGGATCAAGATTTTAAAAAAGTTCTTTAAAAAAATTACCCAACACACAGTATTAAACTAACTATTGAGGTAACTGTCGCTCTTGGGGAACAAAGGTAATCAGCAGACCAAGACAAAATATACACAATATAAAAATAAATAGCATTCCCCTTTCCAGTATTGACCAGGAAAGTTCACACAACTTTGCAGCAGCAGGAGAGAGAAGAGGATCCCTGACACTGTGCTCTACGGGATGGGAAGGGAGGCAGGGGTGAGAACCAGGGCTCCTGGGCAGCAGGTGATGGGAGAGGTGCAGCACCTGAGCTCCTGCTGGGGAAAGAAGTGCTGGGGCGAGCAGCTCCAGCATGAACTCCTTCTTGCACTGAGAAACTCAGGCTATTAAATCCAGCCTTCCATAAACAGCACGGGCAGCTGCCCAGCCCAGTTTCTACTTGAGTCAAAGACAAGCAAGACCAGTCTTTGAGTGTTACATCCCACCCCCAGCAAGGCGTGCCAGTGCAGAACCCCACGCAGGTCAGATTCCCCCACAGAGGGACACAGGCAGAGGTCGTTTTCACAGCTTGGTGTGGGAGGTCTCTGCTGCAGCATCAGCTCACCCTCCTGTCGCCCTGGGACAGTTGCAAGCAGTTGACAAGGGCCAGGCTTTTGCCCCATGGCCTCTTAGACCCCTCCCTGCCCAACAACAAAAAACACAGCAACATAAGAACAGCCTCACCCAAAAAAAAGAAAGGCCCCCGTTTTCTCCTTGTGCCCCCGACAGATTACATTCTTTACAAACTTACAATAATACAAAAAAACCCAAAAAACCAATGTTACCCAACTTCAGAAAAATGAATGGACATAGTGGCATCGGCTCTCCTGCCTCCCCATCAATGCCAAGTGAAGCAGCAGTGGGTCACTCTCCTCCCCCAGAGGCATTAAATCAGTGGTCCACCCACCCCTTGCTCCATGGCAGCAACAGGCAACCCCTCTTTACATATGCTCTGCTTTGTGGATGAGGCTCAACTTTACCAACTTGCTCCCTCCTCTTTCTGCCTTCCCTAACACAGAAGCAGCAACCAGCTCTCTCAGGGCCACCTAAATCAACCCGCCAGTCTCTGGGAAAGCAGGAATGTGGCACAGATAAAATGCAGGGCCACAGAAAGCACCTTGCTTCCCATTGAAACTGTGAAGCCTGGCAGCTTCCATAGCCATCCACTCCGTGAAACAGCGTGGGAACATCAAAGTTGCACTGCTGCACATTATTATTGCTTGGAAAAAGATCAGGCAGCAATGTTCATTGATAGATCATGGAAGAGAGACAAGAGTTTTCACAGTTGTACAGAATATATTTTTTTAATCTAAACCCCCTTGGAAGTAGACACGCCAGGACCATGTGTTGGAACCCTGCAGAGGGACCAGGAGCAAATCCTTGTGCTGGCAGAGGGACAGACGTCGCTGTGCCAGGGTGGCAAACCCCAGGGGCACACGAGAGAACACTCGTGAGCCACTGAGGACACCTTAATTTCATGAGGAGAGTAAATGTGTTCTCCCCACCTGCTGTCTGTATGCCTGTGCAGAGGAGACAGCTGGCAAGTTCAACCTTCTGCCCTTGTGCTCGCGTGGGCAGTGAGCTTTCATCTCTGCACTTGACAGCAACCGACTGCAGCGAAGCGAGCAGAGGGAAAAGAACTTGAAAGCTAGGAAGCAAGGAGAGGGAAAGTGTTGGCATATGACACAAAAGGGGATCAGAGGACTTTTCAGACTACAAGTTGAGGCCTGAGCTCCTGTAGCTGCCTGGCTGGCTTCAGAAAGGGAGATCACTCCTCTGCCATGCTCCAAAATGTTTGAGAGCACCAGGTGTCTGTGTGCCTCTTCATCATTTGATGCCCAAAGGAGTCCTTTATGGCTGTCTGGTCCAACTTTGTTCACAACAAGGGAATTTTACCCACACAGAGCCAGTTCCACTTTTATTTAGAAGATATTCCACTTACTGCCCTTCTGCTAAGTGAGCCAAGTATTTCCAAATAAAAGGGGCAAAGGACGGAGGGGCTTGCCAGAGTTAGTGAAAATCTCAGTTAAGCCTCAGCCCTAATTAATCCTTTGTCCCCTCTTCCACTGGTGGACATAGCCCTTGCTCTCTCCTGGATGCACAGTCTACTTTGATATCCATGCTTCAAAAAGAGGAAGACCTTCGCCAAAAGAAATCTAGGCCACTGCTGCAAATGAAGGAAAAGAGCCCTCAGTCAATGCCACACCAGCAGTGTTAAATCTACAAAACGCTCCATGGTCTCTCAAATCCTGCACGTGAGCCGAGGCAGGACAGTCACCAAAAAGAGAACAGCACCAAAAAGAGAACAGCACCACACAGCTCGCTACAACCTCTGCTTCAAAGGTACGCTTGGATGTTACCATCTAGTTTCAAATAAAACCTCTGTCCTGAACCTCCTTGCCTAGGGGTGGACTGAGCCTTGCTCTTGTCATCCCCAGGAGCTCCTACGGGGAGACAGCTGGAAGTGGGTCCCTCCCCAGCTCTTTTTCAGAGCGGGAGGTGGGCAGCAGGCAGGGAGTGAGAACCGGAGCGCGCAGTTCATTATGTGCCGGTTAAAAGCGTTTTCCTTCCGCATGGGCGGCAGGGGTCCTGCCAAGCCCCAGTGTGCTCACCCCCATCTGTATGTTAAACAGGTACAGATGGGGAAAGGCTGGAAGGTCAACGTTTGAGATGCTTTCTCGGCTACAATGAGCACACGCTCTTAAAGCTTGTCACATGGCCTGCAGCTGCAACCCCACTTTCCCAGCCTGCTATCTCAATCTCGGCCTTACGGAAAGGATACGGCTCCCACACACCTGCTCTCCAACAGCCAGCACCCGACTCAAGGCAAAACAGGAATTCTGCAAGAGCAAACTTCTCTGCCACCGATGCACCGCAGTAAAAACTTTTTAAGGGGTTGCCCTGATTAAGTGCAGGCCCAGTTGTGTGGTTGCTCTGCAGTGAGAGGAACCAGGAGCAACTACACTGTCACAAATTCCCCTGCTGTTCTTCTCCAAGCCACCCCTTGGGATGACACTTCTTTGTCACTCAGTTCAGCACCTTCTCTGAAATTCCACAGTTCATACAGCAACACAGTCTTCTTGGAAAAAGAAAGCAGAACAAAGCCATCAAGAACAAAGAAACAGCCCTAGTTGAACACAGAGATGCACAAAAGCCTGACAGAGATCAGTGGAGGAAATAAAGGGAGGTTGTTTTCTAATTATACCTTCATTTTAAATGGAGAAGTGTTGGGGTGAGAAGCTTCAGGAGAGCTGCCTCAGTCAGCGGAATGAAAGACAGCCTCTGTGACTAGCTTTCAGATAAGACATCAAGAAGCTGATAGCTCTCCAAGACCCCGAGAAACCACACTTACAAAAATATACACAGACGATTTGCTTCGGAAAGTCTGCATGGGAAAGGCATTTGGCAGACAACAAAGAATCAGCAGCTCTTCCAAGAAAAGTGTCTCCATGTACTTTAAAGTCACAAATCCAACCAGTTGGGCCTTGAAGCCTCAAATTTACTTTCCCCTTTTGTCCTCTTCATTGCAGGCTGGTGCCTTGGATTGCTACTGAGTGGTTTGGTGGGATACACCATGGAATTTACAGACTGCAAACTTCTGCTAAACACAGCTAAAAGTCACTGTGAAGCCTCAGTGACTGCCCTTCTAGTTGAATTGCCTGGGCCTGTCCTACTCTAAGACGTCCAAAGCTTCAGAGTCCCTGGGGTAGTTTATAAAGCAGCTTTTACAAAAGCAACTTGATATCTTGGGAGCTTGGGAACACCACACACCACTTACAGAGGACAAGGTGGTGGGGAGAGCAAGATGCCAGAGTGGCATACAAAGCCAGAGTGGCATACAAAGCTCTTCTGAGAATATTGGAAATTTTTGTCATGCTTCAGCATGGCCAACATCATCTTTGTTCTGTGTATTATACAGTCTTGTTTAACATGAAATCCATAATTATAGCAAAATACATCCTCTGTATGGAAAAAGTAATAGCTACAGGAAACTTTACAAAGTCACCAGCTCAGGATGCTTTCTGAGAAAGGACCAACTGGTAATATATTGTGCAACAACAATGCTGGGGGGGTGAGACAGAGGGCTTCCAACCAGTGACTAGAATTTCTCTCTATTGTGTTAAAATATTATTCTGAGCTAAGGTTCCACAACCAGCTCTCCATCTCAGCATGTCCTGTCCTCAGGATAGCCCTATCCCTGTAGCCCAGCCATTGTTCCCCCTATGCTATATTAGTACTTTTCTAATAGAAACCATCTGTCCTCACAACAGCAGCTTGTTAGTCTCTTTAATAAGAATTACTGACTACATCAAAAGCCATTTACCTAGAAACCCTCCCAGGAGGAGACAGCTTCACTACTGTCTTTTGTCTACCACCTGCAAGACAAATCTTTCCCCCAGACTTGCATTATGTCGGGTAAGGGAAAATATCTTCCTGTTGCACACTCCATACAGGTTCCTCGGGGTATCTATCACTGTCTAACACTCCACTGTGCTCTCCAGGCAGACCACAAGCAATTCTTGCCTTTCTTGTTCAGCCCCTGTTTTGGCCTGGGCTTGGTACTCATCTAGACCCTGTGACCACTAGAACCACGTTTTCAGTGCCAGTTCCAGCTGAAGTGTGCTTCAGCTTGCTTGGGGACTTTTTACAGCTTCTAAAACCCTCCTGTTCCACAACGTTCACAATGAGCTGAATGAAAGGCACTTCAAATATTTGGGTGGCTGTCTGTGATACAGAGGACACAGGCTGAAGTACGGCAGGGATTGTTTGCAGGATCTACATTCACATTTCTAGAGTTTTGAATACTTTGCTACAAGTTATATTTTACCATTTATCTGCTTTTAAATGTACAGTGAACCCAAGATTATTTTACAAGGAGAAGCAACTGTGTTCTTGTTTGTCCCAGGTTTATTGTCTTGAAGAGCAGTTCTACTTGCACAGTTTTTTATAAATACCTATCACTGCTTCAGTATCTCCTTTCAGTGAAGGACTAAGAGCTGCCTTTGGAGCAGCTGGGGCACCTCTGAAAACCAACTACCAGCTGAAGAGCCAGCAGCAAACCCTCAGATACGGGACAAATTCAGAAGAGCCATAGCATAATGTTCTTGGCTGGGGAGAGCACTTCTCAGTCAAAGGACAACCTTCAGGATCATCTATTCCAGTTCATATCAATCCACCAGTGACAACTGCTCCCTGACAGATGAACGCAACTGAAAAGAAAAACCACACCAAAAAATCACCTTCCTTTTCCTAATGTATCCTATAGATAGATATTGTAAGTAATTCACATTACACTGACATCTTCCCTTGCAGAGGAACCAGCTGTCCCAGGCAACTCACTGGCCTAAGCAGCCAGCAGCTACAGTTCACATGCTGGCTGCAGCAGTGGGTGAGAACTGCAGCTGTAAGATGAATTTTAACTCCTGTTAGGCTTGGAAAATGCCTTGGCCTTACACAGCTCATCAGAGGCAAAAGTACTGCAGCAACAGAGCAGTGAGGCTCATTGGTAAGAGGGCACTAACACAGCAGTCCTTCCATGTTCTAACTATTTCAGGAAAGGGTAATTTCTCATCTTTTAGGCTTTGTGTGCTTCCAAAAGCTTAGGACAGAAGGAGTAACGACTCACTCAGATGCTACCTGCCATTTGCTTGAACAGCTTTGCCAGCACATGGTAGATCTACACGAAGTAGGACAAAGGTGGTGCAGTCACGGATGTTAAATCCAGCTAAAGATTCAGGTGATGGCACCATCCAAGACAAGAAAGCAGCCAGAAGAATTCTCCAGAAACCTGGAGACAGTCCCTCCCCATGCTGGTACCACAGACTAAAGGGCATGCTGCTCTGTCCTCCTTCTGCTGCTGCTTGTGCTCTTGCTAGCATACTCTATCTGACACACTGGCACATCCTCCTGTAAACTGCACCACTGTCCCCACCCCAGTACAACCAGGTTACGGTCCCAGCAAGTCTTGCTGCCCAGCCTCGTAGAGTAACAACTCCCCAGCTCCCCCAAGAACAGCCAACTGTGTGTGCCTGTTAGCTTTAAGATGTGAATAAATGCAGATGAGAGTCCTGCCGAACTCCTTTGAACACCAGTGGTTGTCAAGATGCTGGCACACAGAGGTTCCACAGTACAGTACTGAGAAGAGCCCCTGCAGACTGTGCACAGGGAAGCTGCCACTAGTCCTGTAGGACCTGCTGCTACATCATCAATGAGGACAAAAAAACCACCTCAACTCGAGCACGCAGCCCTCCTGTCCCCCAGCCCCTGAGCTGTGCCACCTTAACACCTGACTTTGAACCAGTGCTTTCTGATTCACCTGCAACTTGTGAATGCCAAATCCAACTCCACAGGCCAACAAATGGCTCACACTGCAGTAATCCTACCATTCCCCCAAGGTAGCCTCTTGCTCCTCCTCCTTACCAAGCAAGAGCGGTCAGGAAGCCTGTGGTACTTTCTGCTTTGCTGCTGCTAAGAAGTGAATATAGCCCAGGGTCAGAGAAACAAAGGTGGGGACTTGGCTCCTCTCCTCAAGCAGCAGGGCAGTACAGATTTGCACAAAGTTTGTTTTACTGGATGGGTGCTGCTGCACCCACAGCTGTGCTGGTTTCACCAAAATAAGTCTTAAGATGACCAGTTACGCCATTTTCTGTTTCCTAGAGCACACATTTCTCCTATCAGAAAAAGGCAGGGAGAAGGGTCCTGTACTAGCAGAAGGGACAATGCCATGAGTGTCCTGCCCTGGTTTCAGTTCCTGGTCCTGGTTTCCTTGTTCCCCCATGATGACAGGAGCTGGAAGTGCACTCAGGCCCTGGATCCAGAGGAGTGGAGATGGGGGTGAGAAGGGAAGGAGGAAGAAGGCAAGAGAAAGTGGAGGACATGTTATACTCCTGAGCAATTCATGCTATTAAGTCAACCAACTGTCGGGTCATGTCTTGGTTGCAGAGGACAGGAAGGAGGACAGCAAGTCATCCATCACACATTCCCTCGCCTCTCCCCGGTCCCCCCTGAACCCTCACCCTATCCTGAAAGATTTCAGTGTGATATGATTGTAAACAGTTAACGATTCCTCCAGTGCTAAGCCCACTACAAGCTGGGCCCACTCCCTCCCCCATTATGTACAATACATTCACCAACAACAGAAATTTATTTAGAAAGGCAACAGGTTAAATTCTGTAAACTGGATCCAGCTCCAAAACACACACGTTAATACTACAAGTAAAATTTCATCATCGTCCTCTTCCACCCTGAAAAATATACCTGAGTTTAGCAGTCAATGAAAGTTTCTGCCCCCACCCCCGCCCTCCCCACCCGAAAATTCCCCCAAACCCTGAATGAGACGCAGTCTCCGGTCACGGAAAGCCACTAGTTTTGCGGTGCTTGCCCTGTGGTGGGGAGCCAGCTGCTCGGCTGGCTGGGGCCCAGCACCGCCCCGGGTTTCCAACACAAAAGCCGTCACGGCACCATGTTCCACAGACCCAGGAAGCTACATGCTGCTCGGGCGAGGGGAGGGTGGGAGGAAGGCCTGCCCCTCCTCCTGGGTGTCCAAATCATGTGTGGCTTTCGTCTTCATGAGGTCCTTCCTTCCTTGGACTAGCTCTGAAAGAGGAAGAACAAGGGTTGGAAGCTTTAACTGGCAGCTTTAGAAAGGAGTGACCTCATGATTGCATGCAACCAGTTCAAAGGTAGCACTATCAATCTGCCTAGGTTATGTTTTGCAGTCAGCTAAGACTTTAGAGACATTCTCAACTCCTTTGCATAGCAGTAGTTAATTTCCCAGCTTCCTCCAGTTCCTCCCACTCTAATCAAACACTTTACTCCTTTAATCAGTGGGAAGAGAAGGACTTGCATTTCAGCTCTGCTCTCTCTAGCAGTCCTTACTTGATCCAGAGGCAGCACTGGTGGTTTTTGTGATGTCAAATCTTCCCGGGACATTGTTGCTGTAGGCATCTTCGGGAAGGGAACTTGAGCCTGATGCATTTGCATTCTGGAGTCAGGTTGAATGGAGAGAATTTTAGCACATGAATATCAGGAGCAAATCCCTACTCTTGCTTCAAACTACTTCATTGAATGCATACATACAACATTAGCATACAAGCATGCAGCCTTGTGTATTCCTCCGTCTGGTTTCCCCCCAAAACACAACCCTTAATCCATGCTACTGCCCCCAAAGGCTTAGCTGTAATCCAAGTTCCCTGAATACTAGAAGAAGGAAGGACTGTCATGCTGTGACAAGGATAAAACAGTAACAATTGAACAGTAAAAACTGAACATGCAATTTTTGGAGAAGCAGAATTTTCCACTTGGGAAAAAAAGATGATATGCACAGTCTCAGTGAGAAGCAACTTTCTGTGAGGGAAATTTGACATAGAGAGGAGGAGCGAATCAAGAGGAGGGGAAAAAGAAGGCAGCATTAAAGGAGTTCATAACAAGAGGCCAACTTCCAATTTAGTCAGCTACTCTGCCCCACTATAAGCAAGATGAAATAAAACACTTGCAAAGAAAATGGCAAGAGTACATTTGACTAAGAGATGCACAACCCTGAATTACACATTAACAAAACACTGTTAGATGAAACAAAGTACTGATGTGGGGATGGATGGGGCAGGCTAACAGGCTCTCCATGATTGTTTTAAGGAGATGCATTGAGACACTCTCTCCATCTTAGGAGAGCTCTTACTCCAAGGATCTGAGCCACCTGTTAGACTTTCAACTTCATTTGCCATTTCCTCTGACTTCAAGCCACATCCTTTCAAGGATATCCAACAGTGACTGTCACCCAGGCATCACACCCCCCTCCCACCTTGCCTTCTCGCAGAAAACACAGTCTTACCCCGAGGGTCTATACAAGTCCTGGGGTGGCCCCCCCATGCCACCTCCACTGCCTCTCTGCTCCATCAGCAAGGCCTGAAAGTGACCCATGTTCTCTTCTCGGCAGCGGTACAGGGGGCCCTCCTGAGAGAGGCCGTTGGCCTGGCTGGAGGCTGGATGGTGAGACGGGTGGGCATTCATGGGCGATCCATATGTCCTGGGCTGGAAGTGACTGGCAGGATGTCGGGATCCATAAGGAGAGCCAGTTTGTAGCATTACCCCATGGGGAGGGAAAGCAGACGGGCCAAACCCCATCCCTGCACTCAGGTGAGGTGGGGGTGCTCCGTAGAGGAACTCCCCCGCTGCCACCGAGCTTTGCCTCTTTGTGGCTGCATTGTGGTTGTCCAAATCAAGAAACTCTTTGGGACTCTCTGATCTTTCCTGGGACTCCTCGGACTTCTCATCTTCAGGTCCCAGATCCTGCCCGTCACTTGGAGAAACCTCTTTGGCACTTGCTACGTCCATGCGGTTGGGAGAGGCCAGGGCGGCGCTCAGTGCCTCGCAGCCCTGCAGGCCGCCCGCGGACCCCCGCTCTGGGAACGGGGCTCTGGCCAGGGGCGGGTGGGCACTGGGATGCCCGCTGGGGCTGGCCTGGGGGTGGAGAGGCCTCTGCCAGTCCGAATATCCCTGTGGGCAGGCGTAGTAGGGCGGTCGCTGGTAGTGGTGGTAGGAAGGTTGAGGCTGTGGCTGGTAAGGATACGGCATTCCCTGGGGGGGCCGGTACCGCGGGAAGACGCCGGGGTGGGCGCTGCTCGGCTGGAAACCCCGTGGGGGAAAATGCTGGGGGTGGGAGGCAGGAGGAGGTGGCTTCCCGCCCATCACCGGGCCAAAACCCTGCAGGCCTGGGTTGATGTGGTACCGTCCAGCCGAATTCGGGTATTCCAGACCAGGCATGTACAGAGGGTGATACTGGTTGGGGGTGGCTCCCATGGAGCCGGCATCCACACCAGGAAGGCCGGTGCCCTGCCCCATGCAAGGCACGGCTGCTTCAGGCAGAGTCTTGCCCCCACCACAGAGGGGCTTCTCCAGCAGGTTGGCAGTCAGCCCCTTCCCCTCGGTGCCGGCTGCCGGCCCCTCGCCCGCCGCCCCATTCTGAGGCAGGGGACCCCCTCTTTCGGAGGCGGGCACCAGGTCCCTCACGCAGCCTGGGTCACCGGTGTAGCCGCTCTCTGCTGACCATGCACCTTTGCTCTGCCCTGCCTTCAGCTCGCCCTTCACACCAGAGCCATCCGCCTCCCCATCCGGGGGCAAGGCGCGCCTGGCGCACTCCATGGGCAGTGGGGGCTTGGGATGAGGTAGGAGTTTGGCATAGGCTCCGTCGGGAATGCTGATGCACTGAGCCTTCTCGTCCATGCCTGCTGGTGTCTCCACTGAAAGAGAGAGAAGAAAGTCACACACCGGTCTAACTGGAAATCGTCCCTCTCCGCCTAACACATGCACATGCCTGCTCATGCTCACCCAAAACACACATGCCAAAGAGTAATTCCTGCCAGGTTAACCAGATCTACCAAACCTCTTTGATTGCTGACCCAAAGTTGCTGGGCAGCTCTGCCAAACAAGTCCCTAACAACTGGATGGAGAAAGCATTCCACTTTTATGCAAATGAAAGAGAAAAAGGACTGACTTTCTAAAGCTGTGCAGGTCCTTCCATTGTCACTACTCCAAAGCCTACAATGTCCTGTTGTCCACACAAACCTCTCTACAGGGCCGTTGGAGCATGGCATCAGCACAAGTGCTCTTCTCTGGGGCTGCAGCCTTCCTTCCACACCCATAACACAGTTTTTCCTTCAGAGATCTTTAGCAATTCTGAAGTGCATTTTTTTTTCAAATTTGGGTGACCTTTAGTAGCTGCTCCTTGGGAAAGAGATCTTTTGAAAACTACTCGTGAGGTTGCACCACTCCTGGAAAGATGGCACACATGGGCTGAACCCTCATGACATAGACACTGCAGTTTGCAAGCCACTGCTAAGTCACACCTCCACTGGAGTAACATGGCACGTGCGTTTGGTCTGACACACGGGGGTGCAGAGGCTGCCTAAAGGAGAGGCAGAGTTGGGAAATACCATAGTGGGGTCCACATGACAGCAAGATAAGAAGTCAGAGTAGCAGCACTTTGATTTGATGCTGCCTTGCCCCTTCTGGTCACAGAATCATAAAATGGTTTGGGTTGGAAGGGATCTTAGAGGCCATTTAGTTCCAACCCCCCTGCCATGGGCAAGGACACCTCCCAACAGACCATGTTGCTCAAAGTCTCATCCAGCCTGGTCTTGAACACTTCCAGGGATGGGGCATCCACAGCTTCTCTGGGTAACCTGTGCCTGTGCCTCACCAGCCTCACAGAAAAGAATTTCTCCCTAATACCAAATTTAAACCCACCCTCCACAAACGCCATTTGCCTACAGCATGAGCAGAAGCGCTGCTGCACACCGAGATGCTGCTGAGCTGATCGCAGCCATATTTTAACCAACTGTGGTTTGAAGATGAGAGTACTCTGTCCTGCAATCACTCAGCGTCCTTCCCTGGTCTCTGTTCTATATCCAGCAAGTTAAATTATGATGATAACTTTTAAGCAATGCCACACAAGGAAAGAGTTTCCTCTTAGTGCAAGGCACACAAGGGATTGATAAAAGATACAAGGGTTTTGATCTCTAGTTTACCAGCTAGAATTAATGAAAAAAAAATTTTTTTGATCTCTGCGTTATTTTGATCTCTACTTTAGGTTTTATTTTTAAGGTTGGGTTTTTTTTCTTTTTTTTAATCTGTAGTTTACTAGATAGAACAGATGAAATTCAACTGGAAAGAAACTTGTGAGGGCACACACGAGACACTGCCATCCCACATGAACCGATACAGCTGCTCAGGGGCTTTTGGGCAGTCCTGTTGTCCGAAGATTTTGTGATGTTCAGAGCTCACAAGGCAGATGTGCATTTCAGAGGAGAAGTCATACTGATGTACACTTAAAGGAGTATATTTAATATATACTCCTTATATATGTAAGCTATTTCATACAACATCTCCGCTCCTTACCTAACTCTCTGCAGATCCCATTTTTATATTAACTCCAAGTGAGCTCTAAAAGCATCACAGCCTATGCTTTGCATTTCTACCCCATGGCAAACTGATAACTTGCAGGTATAGCTGGGACAGAGAGGACTTCTGGCAGGCTACAGTGAAACAAAACAGCCTAGAAAAATCTAAGTGATGGATGGATTAGAAAACGTATTCCAATTTATATATAAAAAAATAAAAAACCATGTAAAAGCTGCGTCCCTCTCAAGTATTTAATCAAAATTTGAATTATTTTCTGGGATGTGCAGGCAGCGAAAGTCAACAATACCAGTGGGCACTCAAGGGTTTACCTTGGTTGCTCTCCATCTCCATGGTCTGCCCGGTTGGATCTTGCGAGCTCCCGTTTCCCACGACAGGTTTTGGGGGCTGCACGCCGGCGGCGGAGGCAGCGTGGGCCAGCTGGGGGAAGGGTCCGGGGAGGTGTGGCGGGGGCGGCTGGCGAGGGTGGTAAGGCACTCCCGGCGGGCACACGCGGGAGGAGAGCTGCTGCATGGCGATCATCTCCGGGCTGTCCATCATGGAGTCCCCGCCCTGGCACCCTCTCTGAACCTGAGGCGGTGCCCCAAACAGAGCGGCCGGTGGCTGTGGCATCCTCTGGCTGGCGGCTTTCCCGGGCGGTCGGATATACCCTGAGGGAGGCACCCCGTGAGGTAGGAAATTCGATTGCTCTGACCACTGGCTGGGAGGCAGCGGCGGCCTCATGGCCCGGGGGTCCATCATATGACCCAGGGCACGTGGCTGGAGAGAGGGCCCTGGCCCCATGGGCACCTTCTCCTCCGGCCCCATGGCAGCCTGGCCAGCGGGGCCGTGGCTGCCATTCCACAGGGCTGGGTGTGCGCGGTTCAGATACTTGTAGGGCCGGTACATGTGCCCCGGGGGGACCTCCGAGCCCTCCGGCGGCCTCACCGGGGGCCCGTTGTGCCTGGGCGGGAGGAAGCCCTGCTGGAACTGGGCTGGCGGGTAGACGGCGTCGGGCGGGGGGCCGCTGACCCTTCCCAGCTGCAGCGTGCCCGGTCGGGGGCCGAGGCCGGAGACGTGGGTGGGTCCCGCGCACGCCTGCTTCTCCGGAGTGGCCAGCCGGTGCCCGCGGTGCTCGCTCAGTCCCACGGCCGGCTGCAGAGGAGGCAGGGAGAGAGAGAGACATGAGGTGGGTCTCAGTGAGAGCTGTCACACCTGTGGGTCCTGGGGTGCTGCAGTGTTCCTTACCTGCATGGCAAAGTGCTGGTGCTGCTGGACCGGGTCTCCAGGATGGGGCTCAGGCACTCGTGGAGAGCCGTACAGCTTCGTGGGATCCGACCCGCGCAAGGGACCAAACGTTCCTGGCACGGCTGGTCTCTGGGGGACGGGGAGGGGTGCAGGGAGGAGAAACAAAACAGCGTGTGAAGCACAAAAAAGCAACAGAAGAACCACAGGCTGGGGGAAGCCAAGGCTGGAGGTACCACACGGATGAGCAGATGGACTTTTTTGGAGATACCACGGAAAACCTGTAGACTCCCTTCTAGGAGGTGACACAGCTCCCTTGCCAAAGCCACTCTCTCACACCCCAGTCACTCACCTCTGCTTTTAGGTTGCAATACGCTCACTTGCCACTCAAGTACTTGGGAGCAAGCAAGAAGACTGGAGAGGGCAGTGGTTTGCTCCAAGAAGAGGAGTGAACCACAAGACTATGGAAGCAGGAAAATAATGAGGGAATGTGCTAGACTTCCTTCAAAATACTTGATGCCTCCAGCTCTCCCTACTGCCTGCCACTATCTGCATCAGAAGAATCGCTCTAAAAATTTTGTCTGATCTCCAGCTAAAAGAGCAAGGGATAGCCTGGATCTCAGAGGTGCAGCTGATACACCACACCACCATTACCACAATCAGTGGTTAAAACAGAAAAGGCAGTGAAGGATGTGTGAGGAACAGCCCAGACGGGAGGCAGAACAGGTGGCATTCAGAGAAGAAATGCTGGGCTAAAGATAGGTCACTGCTGCAGTCCAGGGTGGCCTTTGTTTGATTTAGTTTACTGCTTTTATAAATACTCAAGGCACGAAATGCAGTAGTACACAGATGGCACAAAGTTACCAGGCATCTGTAAACAATTGAGACAAAAGAAGACCAGCTTGTTTCAGCTTCATAAACTGGAGGTTAAGAGAGGAAATGTGACAGCTTCCCATGCACAATGGGGTAAAACTTTCTAAGGAGAGAAGAGAACTGGGGAAACCAGGGCTGGTGCAAGACTACACAGGGACATGCTGGCCATGGGAAACGTTAGGAGATTGTTCCCAGCTCGTATGGTGAAGACTGAAATTGTACCAGTTTAAATCTAAGTGCTGGAAAGTTTCACTTGGAGAAACCACAGCCCTGACCCTTTATCTCTGGGAAAAGGTCCCTGCCAGGCAGTAGGGATTTCACAGTAGAAAGTTTCATTCCCCTTTCATTTCTCCCTCCCTCCACAGGTCTGATGGGCGCAGAACAGCGGAGGCTGGTCCTTACCATCTGTCCAGGGTGTGGCACAGGGCTGGGCATGCCGCCGTACTGCAGGGAGCGGGGGAAGCCTCGCCCGTTGGAAGGGCCCACCTCCCGAGTAGTCTGCATTGGGTTGCCACTTGGGTCCTCTACAGAGGACGAGGAGAAGGAGGAGGAAGAAGAAGAAGAGGAAGAAGCAGGAGCCCTGGAAGTAGCTCGATATGGTGGAGGTTTTCCTCCATTTTCCAGGCGTTGCTGTCTCTTGCCTGGCCCGTCTGGGTCTCGCGACCGAGTCCAAACACTGCCCGTGCTGGAGCGGCCGGTCCGCCGGCTCCTCTTCTCTCGTCTCCCATCTTCTCTGATCCAAAACTCTTCATCTGTGTCTCCATCTTCCCCAGGGAAGTGCTTCATCATTGCTCGGTGGAAACACCTCTCTAAGTTGTAAGCCATCTTGGTATATTCTGCAGTCAAAAAACCCCAACAATGTCAGGAATGGAGCCTTACAGAGAGAAACAGCTATGCAACATCAGACTTTCCCCATCAGATGAATCATCTCCCCTCCTCCAAGTTTCTTTGAGGAAGACTTTTGTTTCTAACTAGTTGGCTTTGGTTCCTAAACTTCCATAAGCAACACAGATCTGTTCAGTAACCCCACCAGAGGACAGGCACATAGGCATGACAAAGTATCACTGGCAGCACGGTCTGCGGAGTCAGCATTAACTCTGTTCCAGAGGAGTGCCAAGAATTACATTAGAGGAGCACTACCTCTGCTCAGAGAGATGTGTGACCTGCACAGTGCACAGTTAGCCAGCAGAGTGCTGGGAGAAGAAATGTGAACTTCCAGCAAGGCTATTTGATTACGTTCAGAGGCTTTTCTTGGACTCCTTCGAATCTCCGCTATAGGCTACAAGACAGAGGAAAATCAGCAAACACATTTATTCATGTACAGTTTCTAAAGCATTTGCTGGCCCTGACATGAGAGCTACTGCCAACACCAGAGTCCCCAGTGCACCATTTCCACAGGACAGTCCTGCTGAGATGGGCTTCTACTTTTCGTTGAGTGGGTAGGAAGGAAAAGACATGTGAGAGGTGTTAATGACAAGGCCTTGAAGCAAATGACCTTCCAGTTGGTTCCACTAAACTAACCCTGAAGTTCCCTGGGGGACAGAGCTCTCTCAGTGGCAGTGCAGGTATGCTTTTACTTGCAGCCAACAGCAACAAGCTGATCAGTTCCTAACTGTTATCCCTTTCAAGGTGTTGCTGGTGAGACACAGTCTGCAGTGATGACTCACCATATGGGAACTGATTTCTTACCTAAGTAACATGCAGAGTTTTAGTTTTTAATTGGCATGGCAATTAAACCCAGGATTTCTCATTTGCAGACTCATGTTGTTCATTCAATAGACCAGGAACCTAAACCTGACATTTTCCATCCAAAGGACTACAAACCTGGTTCACTCCTCACTGTAGTACTCAAACACTAGGAGCTAACCAGACTCCAATGCTTTTCAGAATCTGTGTTAGTTACTATGAGAAAAAGGGGCACACAGCCACACACAAGCACACGAAGGAATGAGCTCAGAAAGAAACAGACTTTCTTCTCTTTATATGTTCTGCTGTCACCATCTACCAACATGGCAGTCCTTAGTATCCCATGCCCAGCCAAATTGTGCTAAAAGCCTCACTAAAACCCCAGGCCTTATTACTCAGAAGCTCCTACTCTTTCATCTGGTCTCCCAAAAATATCCTGAAAGAGAAGAAGCACAAATCAAGGACTGGTGAGGAGGAAGAGATCACTGCTTGCTTTGACTGAGCACTGCAAATAGACGAATTTATTATCTTACTGCTCTTACCACTGCCTTCACCGTTGTACTTAAGACAGTTCCTGAACATGGTCTTCATATCACCCACAAATTCTTCCTTGGTGCAGTACTGACCTCCATTTAACTTCTTCTCCATGCTAGAGATATCCATGGGGGCCTGAAATACAACCAAACCTCCCTTCAGTGACAGCAAGCATAGTGGGGCGTACAAAGTTGGAGCTGTAGCTTCCTCAGAGAGGGGATGGGGCAGCAGAGGATGCTCTCCAGAGAGGAAGCCTCTCATCTTTGGTTTTCTTGACTTGTAAGGCTAGAAAGGACTACTGGAGACATGCAGTTTGAGAGGTGAGACTAATACAGCCCACAAAATATCAAAACACTTCCAAAAAACTGCCTCCTTGCATCAGTCAAGATGGCTGGATCACTTTCCATACCTTAATGATCTGGTAGTAGTTGGGAGCATAGGATTCATCAACAGGCTCCAAGAAGGGCCAAGAGTCCTTGTGAGCCTTCACCACATCTAGAACTGGAGTTAGCAAGAGAAAGGTGAATGGTTACACACACACAGGGGAGGATTTCACTTTGAGCAAGTCACGTAAAGGGGAAAGCTGGGGTAGGACTAACCTTTGTACATGGCTGTGAACTCATCATCCAGTTCATAGCTGCAATGAGAAGCACCACAGTGAATATGCAGACCAAGGACATGCTCTTGTACTTCATCTTCCCTTCCATCCATGCACAGTGTCACAATGCTGACAAACAGGCCTCATCACAAACACTCCTCTCACATGGACCAAATTCAGATGTTTACCACCTTACTCCTCACTGTTCTCTAACCTCACCTCTCCCTCCTCACTCCTGTGAATGGTTACACTCCTCTCCTTGCCATACTCACTACTTCAATGCACTCACGTGCTGCAATGCCCAGTTGGGTACTCACATATCCTTGGTCCTTCGCTCTTCCCTGGAAGGGGAACTGGGATCCAGGTGGGACAGCTCAGGAGGAAGCTCCTTTCCCTGCGCCAGCAGCCAGGCCCGCTCTTCACGAAGTTTCCTCCTCCTGGCCCGTTCTGCAGTAGGGAGAGGTGAAAAAACATTCAGCACTACTTGTCAACTTCTTTCAGGGAAAAAGAAGGCATGTCCTGCAGCTCTCAAGAACTCCAGTGAGATGGTCTTGCTCTTTTGGCAAAAGCAGCAACAGCACAGGAGCAGGTGAGGTGAGAATGCAGCGCACCATCAACACACCTCTTCACTCTCCCTTGGTTTACCATCACCGATTTTGAAGCATTGCTGTGACACAGATGCTCCCCTAGGCAGCTTCCAGAAGTGGTGTGGTACAGAGAGAGAAGTTCAACCAGACCTAGGCATAGAGCTGGCTTGTTGTTACCTTCCTTTAGGTGCTTCGGCTCAGGCAGGTAAACTCAAGGCAGCTGGTTTTGCACTGAAGGGGACAAAGAGCAGTGCAGAAGGAAGGGTGAAGTTCTACAAGCTAAGTGGCAATGAGTAACTGGGGACATTAATATCCTCCATGATCATGGCTAGCTTTGGGAAGGTTGCTCAGGTGGGTCTTCATGGCCAGCAGCCAGAGCAAACAAGCTGCCACACAGGAAGACCACTGGGACAGCTTTGATTTAAAGAGGTGAGAGACAGGAAGAAGCAATTCTAGTAATATAACCTGTGGTTTGCAACCAGACAGCTGGCTAACAGATTGCTTCATAATAGAAAGTTTATGGGCTCTTATGAACCTCATTTCCTTTCTCTTATAAGAAATCTGAATTCATTTGACTTGCAAAACACCTGTGGTTGGACCAACCTTGCATAGGAGCAGAATTCTGTGAAAGTAGTGTTCAAGGGGAGATGTCACAGGAGTAGGACCCCTGAAAACAGGCCACATCAGGGAACACCCAGAGAGAAAGAAAGATGGAGAGACTTGGCTAACACCCTCTATCAGAAGCTTCATATTTGGAAAATGTCGAAGACTCAGGAAGTACCAGTTCTGGTGGAAAAATGTTAATTTAATGTCTTACTCTGTCGGTCAAAAACAAACTTGGGATAGCAGCTGAGGGCACAAAAAATGTAGGAATAGCTACAAAGTGGTTATTTATAGGGACATCCATGGTCAGATATGTCAAACATTGGTAAAAGAAAGCCTGAATTTCCTGTTAGAAGACTCTGGGCAGCACTGAAGTTGGGAGTATAGGACTTGGTTCTGAGGTGTCCTACAGAATGTAACAGCATCTATTATAACATTTCATGGTGATAAGTTCAACATCCAATTGCAGGTAACAGAGATTATCTGAGTCTGTCCAAGCACAGTTCAGTACTTCATGCTTCTTTCCTAAAATTAGCATCACTCAGATGGCATTGCAATGAGAAAGCTGAGGAAAACATGAAGCAATAATTCGGGCAGCAAAAGGAAAATCTCATGGCAACAGCAGCCAAGAGGTAAGGTGATGTAGATTTTAGAAATCCTCCAAGGCCTGCCAAAGATGTGACTCGGTAAACTGACAGGAATTGAGGAGCGCTACCCTGGTACCAGACTGGATCTCAGTCAGGATTAATGGCAGGAACCTCTACCACAGCTAGTGATTAACACAGCATGTTACATATCAGGCAGAGCTCATTCTCACACTGTTGGCCTGGGTTGAGTCCTACCCAGCAGTTTTAAAATCTAAACAGTGCCCTAAAAAGTACCTCAACCAGCTAGAAAGTCATGTTTGTGAGAGATTATGACAAAGCAGCATCTGGAAAGAGAACTGAGAAACTCTAACCTGCTGTTGTGGTAGAAATCTAGAAAGCTGCCTTAACTCATAAATTCAGGAGACTACAGATGGGCCCAGCAGGAAACTTGCTACCTGGGGTGTGCATTGGAGTGGGGGGAAGTGAAATCTCAGACTGGAAACAGGAACGTGTTTTAAAAAACAGGCATACAGTTCAAAATTGAGAAGAAGGTGAAGTGCTAATTAAGTTCATCAGAGAGCAGATATTTCACCTTGTATTTCACATCATTCCTCTACAGAAGACCTAGGACTAGAGATGAGTTTAAACCAAAATAAAAGCACCTCTGCCAAGAAAAGCTATGAATGTATGCTAATTTCTTTGAGTGGCTCTGGTATCTTTGAATCAGATGATGTAGTGATTGCATTTACCCAGAAAAGGAAGTGGCTTATCCCAAAGCAAAGCCATGTTACAGGAACATTTATCTTTGCAGCTCCTCTGGAACCTCAAGATTAATTTTGTCTATACAGATGAAGAATTAAAAGCACAGAATATGCAATTTTCCAAGGTGAAACAGATATCTACAGCAGATATGGAAGGTGGATGAGTCTCAGTTTAAAGCACTGGATTAGCTAGGACTGGCAACCAGGAATATATGAAGGCCAAGGAAGTAATTGGATTTTCTAAAGGTTAGAAAGGTAAGCAGGTAAAAAACCCTATTCTTAGATAACATCTGGCATGCTACCAAACATCTGGTAGCAGACTGTTTCATCTTGGAAAGTTTACAAGGTTTGCATGAACGTAATCTTTTTTTCCTTTTCTGATTATTTATCCCCTTAAGGACTCAGGATACTGATATTGCCACACACTACCACCACAGCTTTCTGAAGATGCTCAGCCTTTCCCTAGAACTGCAACAGCCCAGCCAGTCACTGTAGCAGAAGCAGCAGCTCATGGAAGTCCCGTAAGGGAGGCTGACAGAGAGAAGGTGGTCAGAAATGAGCCTGCTCTGACACCCATGCCTACATGCCACAGCTGAATGCCTGCTGTCTGTGCCTTGAGCTGATGTATTAAATACATTAAATACATTTGTTTCTTGCAGAACAGTTTAACTCAGCATTTAATTCATAACCAAAAAAAAAAATAATCAAACCAACATGTGAAGTTGCCACCTCTGGTGTTCTGGTAGCCTGGTCCCTTCATCTTTAGTTCTCCAATTGGTAAGGCCAGGAAAAAAATGTTACTCTTGCTACTCCTATGTTGTCCCCTTCCCTTTCTCCTCAAAGGGAATTCTTCTTTCATCATGGACTGGGCCAAAAGAATCAAATGCTATTCAGCAAGAGCAAATCCAGCTAATCCTGCACACAGGGAAATCCATAAGGAGGCAAGTGGGGAGATGGAAGAGAACTGAGAAACAATGTGATAGCAGGAAAAAAAGCATAGCTGAGGGAGAAAATAAGCATGATTTGAGGAAGACAACACAGTCAAAGGGTATACTAGAGAACAGCCACCAACACCAAGGGAGATAGGCAAAGGAAAAGAAGCTACAGTCAGACCAACTTATCACAGATAAGTGCAAGAAAAGATATTCCCATTAGCAGGTCTGGCAGGGGAGGGACGTAAATGGCAGATCTTAATTCAAGATTTCAATCTTGGCTTTGAAAACTTCTCCTTCTGCTTCACACTTGGCTGCACGTTACCTTCCACTGCTTTGACCTTTTCCTCCATCTCTCTCTTCCTCTCCTCCTTTAGCAGCTGTTCCTGCTCCCTCTTCTGCACTGCTATAAGGATCTGGCGTTCCTCCTCTTCCTCCCTGCGCCTCTGCTTCTCCATGGAACTCAGCACATTCGGGTTTACCTGCGACAGAACAGGGCACCAAAAACTGTAACACGTTGGCTTATTCAAGTCTGAGCACAGGAAGGATTACTTTGAGCAAATATTAAAGTAAACCTACAATGAATGGCTGGGAGGAAAAAAAAAAAGGGAAAAATGGATTTGTACGCATGAATTCCTAGATGAAAAGCAACATGTAAAGCAAAGTTATTTGTCAAGCAATGAAATCCTACTGATACAAGGACAATGGAAGGAGAAGCAATGGGTTAGACAAGCTGCCATTCTGTCAGGGACACACTGTGAGTATTTCCCTTCCCTTCTGGGCAAAGGATTCAGGCTGTTGACAGCACCACAGAACACCTCTACCTCTTCCAGCTAGCAGAGCTCCAAGTGGGAAGTGTGAGCAGAAAGAACTACGTTGCCAAACCTGGCTCTGCTATAAAACACAGAGTACTTCACTAGGAAAAGAGACTGATACAGCCTTGCATCGAGGTATCGTTTGGAATGTTTTCCTTTCCTGTTCAAAATTTCTGTGTGCTAATCTCCCCCGAACTACATCTTGTTTGTTTATTTGGACAGTTTTCCTGCTGGGTCCCAAAACCAGTTTTCTCACTCCAGGATGCCTGGCTCTTTATTGCCCCACTTCCTCAGCTCCCCACTGCCAGCAGGCTCCAAGGCTGTGTTTGATCCTGCTTAAGACTGCAGGCTTCCCGACCAGGGATCGCCTGCTCCTATTTCTCCAATGAAGTGCAAGATATGTATATGGAAGTGTGGAATTATCTTTATTAGCTTAAATTAATGATAAGACAAATGAATCAGTCATCCACCAGCCACTCCCACCCCTTTGACTTCTGCAAGACCAAGATACATGTGCCTTGTCAGCAAGGAATATCAATCAGAAAAGAACAGCGTACACACAGTTTGCTCCAACTTCATTTTCAGGGAATAACCAGCAACCACCACTTAAGCAGAAGGCATTTCCTGAGGATTAGCAATCAGCTGGGGTCCGTTGGCTGCTGCTCAGATCATCAACTTCTCCAGGCCCATTATTAATCCCCAGAAAAAAAAAAATTCTGGCCCCATGATTACTGTTTTGTCCTTGTTTCATTGCCTAGGAGTGGAACCTGAGGCTGTTTTGATAAACACCTAGAAATGCTGTCTGGTTTCACTGTACATTCATTCCCCCTCTGCCTCCCCTTCCCCTATACAGCCCTGAGCTGCCCTACAAAGTCCCACTCCAACTCCCTGTGGATGAGCATTATGAATTATCTCCCTATTTCCAGCAGCAAAAATATTTTAAGAGAATTATATTTCAACCACCAACAGTCACAGAGAAGTGTCAAAGAGAGGGTGATGGGACTCTTGACAAAATTAGGACCATATCCTGCATTTAGAGACAGACTGGGCAGCAAAAACACCAATCTTTTTAGGTGAATCCTATAGCATCATCTCACCATGAGGGAACTCTGCCTATCTTTTCCTTTTTAGATATTTGCCAAATGTTAGTAGTTCACTTGTACATCCCTTTCCTAGAAAAATCATTCTGTGAGCCCATGTGCCTTAGCTTAGCCAGCTTCTCCTCACATTCAGCCTAAAGTTCATTTCTCAACCCCTCATTCCATCCAGTTATTCTCAGGCTCTTCTGGGTGAGCACAAATCTTTCTGTTCTTCAGCCATATTCCAGCCTTTACGGGCTTCCTCAGACACTTACACAAAACTCCCACATTTCTCCAGTTAGGTTAAATGTTTCCTTATAAAGCAATCCTTCCAGTTCCAGTTGTCTCTCAGGGCTTTTCTCCCTGATCAATATCCAAACGCCAGGATGCTCAGGACTGAAAGTGCTTTGCCAAGTACAAGAGGTCAAGAACCTACAGAATTGGGTTCTACACTTACACTTTTGATTCTTTTCATATCCCTTTCTCAAATGCTCTACCATCCGATTTTCTACTCATGACCTGCAAACAATTTCCTTTCAGGTCTGATTATGACCGTCGTCAAACAGTTTACCCCTGACTTTCTTGATCAATCTTCAAATAGCAGTAAGAACCAAAAATGTCAGGCTCTGCAGCAATTAGAAGAGGTGAGCAGGAACCAGCCATCAGAAGTTGGTACACTAATATGTTTTATTGAGGATGTGACCATCAGCCTTTAAACTCTCCAACCAGTAGATCTAAGCCAGCCTGGCATGACATGCCATCTTTTCTGTTGGTACACAGGTGAGACCTTCCCTTTCCCTGGATTCATACAACTTTCACCATTCATGTCCTATGGAAACATGAACACAACATCCAAGCTGCAGTGCTCACCACCAGAACCTTTCCAAGCCTGCAGGGTGCATTCAGCACCCTACACTGTAATGGCATCGAATCCATAGCATGTTCCAGGTAAACACACCACAAATATGGCATTGACAAAGCAAGAGGACAATTTTAAGCAAAGGAAGGGTGTCATCCTACTAGATGTAGGAAGCAGAAGAAGAAAAGGGAAAAGCAGAAACCATAGATGCAGTGTAGTGAGCCCCAAGGGCTGCAGCAGACACCCACAACGGCACTTGCTCCCTGCAGCACTTGCAGGGCAGCAGCAATGCTGGCTCTTTGAGACACTTCAGACACAGAAACAACCTGATTTTCAGAGGGACCCTCTGCCTGGTGTCCCCCTTAAGCCCACTGGGGATGAGCGTGCTCAACTCAGGGTTAAAAAAATCCGCGAACACAAACCAGCAAACTCCTATGAGATGTGGTGGAAGCCGATGTCTATTGGAATGATAAAAACAAGAACCAAACTCAAGTTAAACTTCCTTCCTGACCACACAGGTGGTAAAAGGACGTTTCTCCAGCTTCCTCCCCACTTGGAGGAGAAAAACCACTGCCACCACAGCATCACCGCCTCCTTCCCTCCGGTAGAGAGCACTCCAGGACACAACATCGCTGCCTTCCCCTGGCCCTGCGACCTGAAAGGGCCAAACTCCTGCCCGAACTCCTGCCGTTTGCTTTGCTCTCCAGGCAGTTGGTATCAGACTTCAGGGGCAGAAGGCCAGGAGGCATGAATGCCCTGGACACCCTGGCCTCTCATCCGCCAAACCTTTCCCGCTCAGGTTTCCACAGCGTGATCCTAATGAGGGTGCTGCTCAGGCGGCTCTTAATGAGGAGCTAATCTGAACCACCTGTTGAGAAATCCCCTGCAGGATCAGGAGCCCATGGAGCAGTTACATCTTGGACTGAAGCAGCAGCCAGGAGGAAGGGGTCACCTGCACTCAGCCGAGGTTTTCTCCCCCAGGCTCAGGCTCGCCTGCTGCCCGCCCTCACTTGACAAATAAGATATCAGACATGCTTGCACCTTCCTTGGCTCCCCAGTGGCAGGGATGACTGCCACATCCTGCTGGGGAGCGCTGTGAGCATCACCACCCTCACACTGGCTGGCTCCCTGTGCCCCGGGAGCCAGGAGGGCCCCCCGCTCGCTGGAAACATTTCAGTGGCCCACAGGCAGCAATTAACAGCCCTCTGCCACAGCAGACCTGGAGCACCTGCGGTACTGATTAGCATCATTCAGGCTCCATGTGTTTCCCACTCCCCTCCTCCCCTGGGATTTCTGCTGCCTGTGAACAAACACGTGTCCCTGCGCTTCCTGCACGGTGGGCTTTGCAGAGAGCAATTCTGGCCCCAAACTGACCATCACTGGGGTCTTATTTTCCTCCCGGCAGGCTTTTATCTGCAGCATGATGAGAGGTTCTTCCTTCCTTTTATTTATCTGTTCCAAGTAAGTATATTTATTGCAGGGAACTACTTTCTCCTTTGTTTTGCGGGAACCTCTGACTCCGGCTCATGTGGAATATTCCCTGCAGCTTTATTTCCCAGGCTCTGACAAAACACCAGGTAACTACATTTTGATTACATCTGCGGTGAGAGATTATGCCACAACCTGATAGAATCAAGACAATCTTTTCCTCCAGAGCTAATCCCGAGTTGTCTGACCGATTGCTTTGGGCAGCAGTTGCCAGTTCAAAGACCCCCCATCTCCACGGCACCACATGCCTGGCTGTGCCGGCGTGACTGTTGGGGGCTGTGTGGTGAACTGGATCAGAAAACTGATCTATGTTAAAAATAACCCTGACCAAAGAAAAAGGTTATATTTAACTCCAGTCATTTTCCTGGGTCTGGTTCACTGCACAGACCCGCAAGGAGCGGCAGCAGCAGTGCTGTTACACTGATGGGGTGGAGGAGATGAGGGTGAAGAGGCACGGAAAGAGCCATTTCAGCCAACATAGCTGCAGTTTGATAAGCATTTCTTTAAGCTGCCTACATTGTGACTTCCATTTCCAGCTGACCCCCTCCTAGCTCAGCTCCGCATGCTGCATCAGTCATTCTTCTCTCCCTCAGCACTATCTACATCCTCATGTATTTGCAGCCTCACGTTTTCCCCTTGGCTGAATTTCTGTCATTTCCCTTTGTAAGCCGGTTCTTCTAGCCCTCTCATCCTTCTTCAACTTTTCTTTGAACTGCCTCGAATGTGCCAGCACTCTCATTGAAGTGGAATTCCCCAGACTGAGTGCAGATTTCCATATGCAGCTGCACCGGAGTCTGCAGCGAGGCCGGTTACCTCTGCGATCCAGAGGGCAGCACCTCCCTGCTCGCCATAGAAACCCTGAGTGTCAGCCTGCCTTTGACGGGCATTACCACCCATCTCTCTTTCAGCACAAGCACTTTCAAGCGACTCCTTCCCACTGAATAGCGATGCTGCGGTTTATTTTTTCCCCTAGGAGGCATCTGCTCTCGCCTCCCTCCGTCGTCCTCCCCCTCGCACCCCCCCTCACCTCCTGCTTGATTGGTTTGATGGGCTGATGGTCAGACATCCACCTGGGAGAAAACTCTGTCCGCTGCAGACGCTTCTCCTGAAACAGGGTTGAGAATTGAGGGAAGGAAAAAGAGAGTGGAGGAAATTAGGGCACATCGGTGACACTGGCAGGAGAAACTCTGGGGGCTAGAAGTGACCATGAAATCCCTATTAGCTTTACAAGGGTAGCAAACAAGCAAACTGAACTCAATCCAAGAACATCACGCTGGCTGCAGAGCCCATTTTACAAAGCCATCTAGCCTTTCCAAATCTGTCCCACCTGAAAACATTCAGTTGACGGACAATACCCTTCAGAGTTTCAGGGCTCTGACATAACCAGCTCAAGCAGACTTAGCTAGGACAGCTAAAGCAGCCAGAGCCCCTCCAGCAGAGCCAGCTGAGAAAGGGCAGTAAAAGTGGAATCACAGGCAGTTTGCATAGAAAAGCTAGGCTGTAAATCGCAGCAGTTCAAAAGCACAGCGAATTCCCTGCTAGGAGAAAAGGGACACAGAACATGGCTGAAGACAGTAACCCCTTCAGCCTTCCTACCAACGCCGCCGTGCAACCATGAACCAGATCCTCGAGCACCAACTCTAGCCCTGCCACAGCACGGGGGAGAGCCCTTCCCCCCCCCACAAGCTGAACAGCCCCCACATCCATGACACTTGGAGGCTGGAGGTGGGGTGACGGGCTCTGCTTGGATTCAGCAACTTCACTCAGCAAACGTCCATGCTCTTGGAAGCGGTCAAAGAGAGGTAAACAGGATGTCATGTCTCCTCACCTTCTGTGCAATCATGTTGCAGATCTCCGGCAGGAAGTCTTCACTCAAGAGTTTGTAGAGCTGCCGCTCTCTAAGGGAAGTCCTCTCTCTGAAGCTCTCTGTGACCTGCCTCCACTCCTCTTCCGTCTGGCACAGCAGCCACCATGTTCCACGGCCAGGCCCTTGGGACCCTTCAAAAACGTGAAAGGATGTTATCTCCAGAGCAGTTATGACTAACAGCTCTTCTTGATCCCTTCTCTTCTCTCCTCAGGGCTCAGGAAGAGCAAAAGACACTGTTAATGGCCACTGTTACGAAAAACGTGCTCTTTGCTATAGACCCAAAGCTCTCCTCATCCACCAGAAGCGCTGCTACCTCCCTTAGTGACACTGAAAGTGATGCCAAGACACAGAGGAAACACACAGTTGAAGAAATAATGATGGGAAATGGCAATACACAGGTAGTACAACATCCCTGTAGCAAGCCTACATTCCAGTTATGACAGACCAGAGAAAAGGATTTAATTTGCTTCTTGTAATGGAGGCTGTCAGCCAGAGCAGGACATGGGGAAATACAAACATCTGATTTAGTCTGGCAGCAGAATAAACCCATCAAAAAATACTGTAATTTGAAATAAGCTCTTTTTTTTTTTTTTAAGCACTGCAAACCTTTTCTGCAGTGAAAAAATCCCCCCGTTCTCCCCAAATGAAACATTTTGTTCGCAGGCACTTGAAAGAACAGAAGAGGAAGCGAAGGACAGGGTTCATCAGGCTGCCAGATGAGGGGGAAGTTCCAGAAGTTCACATCCCATCCTTGCTTGATCCAGAGTGGGATTGAAGCAGATCACCCACCGCTCTGAGCATGTCCCAACTACCAAGACACTCTGAGCTGTTCCACCTTGTGTGAAATATTTGAATACTAATTGTGAAGGAAGGGCTCTCTTGCATGGTGGTTGGAACACCCACCTGGAGAGGGGGAATGTGGTTCCTGCTCCGCAAATGTTTACACAGAGCAGGGAAGCCTCATGGGTTGCAACTTGTAAGCTTTTGCCCCAGGATGCTTTCTAAGCAAAAAAGGTTGTGGCCCTTTTTTTTTCACTTGGGAGACGGAGGGGATGAGTCTTGAATCAAACACCTTCAGGTTGGGGAGTTCTCAGCTCCCTCTAGACTTTTCTAGAGCTAACCACTGGCTTCTGGAAAGAAAGCAATGGCCACCACTGCCACTGGCAGATGTCATGCACCCTCTCATCACATTTTCAAGCAAACCAACAACGAAAAATATAAAGAAGTGAAAAAACAGAGCTGCTTTCTCTCTGAACCTGATTCTGGGCCCTTTATGGATCTGAGCTGCAAGTGCCTCTGGCATGCAAGCTGTCAGGTTGCCCTAGGAAGATCGGGAAGCTGCAACCTCCCCCCAGCCACCTGCCCTCTGTCAGAAGCCTGGGTGCCATGGCAGTGGCACAGAGTGAGCACATGCTCCGGGTCACAGGCCAGCCTGGACTTGAGCCCACCCTCAGCTTCAGCTCAAGTGAATGCTCTGGGGACCAGTAATGGAGATGGCAAAGGACCAGCCATCTGCCCACCTGCAGGGGGGAGCTTACCTGCACACTGCCCCCAAACCCTGTACCCTTGTTTCCTATTCCCTTGCCAGCTGCCTACGGAGAACTCATTTCAATAGCAAACAGGACTAAGGCACTGCTTTGTGCCACCAGAAGATTACTCTGCAGCTGAAGTGACACAATTTGCTGGAAGACAATGATCTGATAAAACCCCCAGCGCCTCACGTGCACTGCTCTGGCTCTGCCGCCCAGCTCTGGAGCAGCCACCAGGAAATCTGAAGACAAAGGGCAAAGGGAAGGAGGCATGGGAAAGACAATGCCACCCTTGCCTTTTATTGTGAGGGAACAGGCAGGCTGAGTCCCTGGGTTTTGTGGAAGCCAGTGGATACACATGTATGACAAATGAGTCCCAGCTCCCTTGAACTCACATTCACATCGTGTTGCCAACTGATTCTTTCTGCTTGCCTCGTTAACCCTTAGGTGGGTACCCCCAAGATGTCATTTACTGTGCTAAGCCACCAAATGGCTACCAGGAAGGAGAAGTGAGGAGGATCAAAAAGGTTCTTTCTTCTCTGTCTTGGCATCACTGACCACACTCTTTTCCCAGCCCTAAAAAACACACCAGCTACCAACAGGGCCATGTGTTTACCTCATGCCTGGAAGAGGGAGGACCATTCACAACCCATTTTTGTAGGTGAGCCCTCAAGGTCTAGTGTATCCCAATAGGTTAGGTTTCTTCCTCCCAAAATCATCCATGATAAGACAGGAAGCCTACATGTGCCCAGGCTCCCAGCTGCAAGGCAGCCTGTAATCCCTGCAAACCCCTCCTTCCCAGCTTGGCCCCAACCACCAGCAGAAAGACTCTCCCTTTCCTGAGAAAGGCTGGGTTGTTACAGACATCTCTCTGGGCTTTGACAATTTAAGAACCATGTTAGCCGATGGTATCAACCCTGATGCCGTAAAATCTCTTTACCATTTCTTATCTGAGTCTCATGGATTAGCAAGTTCTCTTCTGCCTTCTCCCTACCAAAAAAAAGAAAGAGAAGAAGTGATACAATAAATACATTACTTCACACCACGTGAAATGCAGCTGCTTCTAAGAAGAATGGGGGACGCAGCAATTATTCAATGCACAGCAAAACCATGAAAAAAACAACCTGCAGAACACACGTTTGATATATATTTTCACATATATATTTACCATAGCTTCATAAAGTTTTTAAAAGTGAAGGGTGCAGGCTGAAGTTTGGCAAGCACAGTATTTCAGTTCTTGTGTAAGCATCCCGAAATCTACACTGACTCAAGTGGCTGAGATTTTTGGCTTCAAGTGCTACACAGTGAAAGTGTTCTTTATCAGGAGCAAATCCTCTAGCACTGCACACTGGAACTGCATTTGAAGTGAGGTGGTTGGAAGAGTGATGCCCACTGTTTCACCGAACTTCCAGCTCAGTCAGAATTTGCTTTGGAGAGTGATCAAAGCATCCACCAAGTCTGAGCTTGCTTTGCTTCAGAGATGCATTGAAATTATGGCTGCATGGTATATACATACTTATTGGGGGAACCCCAGAACTACATTATACTTTCCTCTGGGAACATGCGTATTTTATGTCTGTTGCAGGAAGAACCCTTCCATACCTCAGCAAATTTTCCTCCAGTAGTTTTTTCCGCTTTGGAGGTCGCCCTCGTCTCTTGCCTGTTTTCCCAGGAACATTTGGGGTGTTTGTCTGCCCCCCACATCCCCTGAAAAATGGCAAAACCACCATGAAATATCTGCTGAGCAAGGGAACTGAGGCTGGCAGGATGGGAGAAGGGCACAGAAATTGGAACAGCTGCTAGGAACCCAACCAAAGGAGGGATTAAATCAGAGCAGCAACAGGATGGGGAGGGGAGAGGAGGGATTCCCACTGGCTGGGAGCCTGCTCTGGGAGCCGCCGGCACGGTACGGTGCGGGGCAGACAGGCAGGAATGCAGTGGGGCAGGCAGCATCGTTCCCACAGCAGGCTCTCCTGGTGCCACAAAGGCTGCAGGCTGGCTCCGACACAATGCGCGGCGCAGGGCAGCTCCGCTGTCTGCTTGGCAACTCCAGTCTCGCCCCGCACTGCCCCGGCCTCTCCCAGGCCCCCCCACCCCGGCACAACAGCAGTCAGGCGGAGCCCCCTCCAGCTGGGCTGGCTGTGCCCCCTCACCCCCTGCACCCAGACATGGCGGGGGGGGATGTGTGTGGGTTGTTACCTGTCTGGAGCCAGCTCTCCGTTGGTTTTCCCCTGCACCGGGTCCTCCTTGTACATCCGCGTGCCATAGAAGTACCAGTACAGGGCCCCGCTGCTGTCCTCGCCCAGCGGCTCCACGCGGAGGCTGTCGGCGTCCAGGCCCTGCGCCCACCGGGAGCCCCCGCCACACGGTGACAAGTTGAAAAGCGGCCACGATTGTCACACAAAACATGATGACACCCCTCCGCAAACACCTCCCTCCCTCCCTCCTTCCCTCCCACCACGCCACAGCAGCAGTACAGCTGCTCCTCCCGGCCGAGCTGGGAAAATGTTACTCCAGGGGGAAGGCGACTGTTCGCTCTCTGTCCAGGGAGGGATTTAGATTGGCATCTCTAATTTGAATGGCCTCTCTGGTTTTAACATTTCATCTCTGGTGCTCCTGACAGGGAAGGTCTAATTAGTGCTGGCGACAGTCACGCACAGCCCTGAGAAGCTCCCTCCCCCCTCCCTGCCTCTACCATCCCCCAGCTCCCCCAGTATACTTCAGCTCCATCCTTTCATCTCACACCATCCCTCAGCAAGGCAGTCTCAGCTCTCACAGCCCTGCCATTGGAGCATCTCCAAATTCACTCTTCTCAGGAAGAGTAGCCAACGAAGCCAATTTGCTTGGCAACTCTCATGTTATGAATACATCCGCAGAGGACAAGGGCCCAAGCCTTGGGCACTGGCCTTGGGTCCTCTGCAAGGCAGAGGAGGAGATGGAGAACTGCCAACCCACTGTGTCGCCACCTGGTTACCTGGTTTAAAATACACTGAAAAGCATCTACTCCTCTCTTCCCAGTAAAATTCATGGATCTGGCCCAGCTCCTACAGCCACACTGTTTCCCCTGTCCCTGCTGCCCAAAGCACCTTGAGGAGGTCGAAGACATCGTCTGCATCGAGGCGGTAGTCGCAGAGGCGGTGCAGGATCTCCACCCGGGTGCGCAGGGGCAGCTCCTGGAAGGTGGACTCCCTCAAGGGGTTGGGTTTCCCCTCCTCCAGCTCCCAGCGGTAGTTGATGATGTCCTCCAGGTAGCTGTGAAACGTCTGGGATCTAACCAAGGGAAAAAAGTCCCACACACTTGCTGTAGTTTGCCACGCCAGAAACATCTGGTGCACCAAGCGACTCGAACAAACATAACACAGAGACAGCACCTGAAGGAAAATGGTGCCTTACAACAGCTATGGCTGGGTGCAGCTCTGTAACCCATATTCCCAAAACACAGCAACCTCACTGCAACACCATGGGATTTCACACTATACACAGACAGCTTACAGGGCTCTGCATTACTGTTATTTCCTTCTAAGCTGAAAGAACGAGCTAAACATTACAGCAACTCAGCCTCATCCCCTTTCTATCCTAATGGGGAGCGCCTTGTGCTAGCACCAACATCCACCCTTTGCTAAAATAGGATGCAACAAAAGTTATTGGTCTGATCCCTTTCCACCTCTCCCCATTTGATGCCTAAACCTTCTTCTTCAGCTTTTCATTTGCCCCTCACATCTGTCATTGCCAAGCCCTGCTCCACCCCCTCTGCCCCTAAAGTAGTTTTCCACGCCCTGGTTCAGTGCCCTGAAACTTTCCATAGCTCATCACCTCCTCCCCACTTTGCTGATTTATGCTTCCCATACTCCTGTTGTGGCTCCTACTCATCTCTCCCTCCATTCCCAAAGGTGCTGCCACTTTCTGCCTGTTCCTCCCTCCATCAGTGCCTCTGGCAGGACATCAGCACAGCCCAGTTAACACACATGGTTTGGACCCTGACACGCAGCATGAGTGTACATCCCAAACAGGGCTCCACCCAGAGGGCTCTGTCCTCTGTAGTCTCCCAGATGATCAAGCTGAACATTCAAGCTCTTAATAAACATTGCTACTAAACCGATCTTTCTCATCTTCTAGCTGGGCCACATGAAGTCCCACTTTCATTCCCAGCAGTTCATCATATAACTCAAGGAAGCAGACATTTCTTACCCCTGTCTGTCATTGAGGGTAAATGTCCCCATCTGACTGTTGATGGAGCTCAAGGCTAAAGGAACTCCTGTCCATATTTTAATGAGACATAAGCCTTTATTCTGAATGCTGAAAATTTCAGGGCAGGGAATGAAAAAGGGCTGGTGAGTCCATGTGTCCCTAAATATAAAACTTCCTGAAGATCTGTCCGTATCACTTTGAGTCCTGAGACTTGCCAGGCTCGCTCAGCCTATTCAAGTTGTGTACCCTGAGCACAGCAAAGGGGGACCCCCCCATGCCCCAGCCATTCTTGCACACACGGGAAGTCCATATGCCAGCAAGAACACCACTGGGTACACATTCCCACCAGCTCTCAAAAAGGCAGCTCAACTTGATAGGTTTTTGGCACAAGCAGATTACTCTATATGATTAATGGAACTGTGCCAGCACCACAGAATTGCATTTCCCTGAGAAATCGCTAACTTCCACAAAAGCTATTATTTTTAAACAAAGAGATAGAGGAGTGTGATCCAACTGAAGAAAGATGGTTAAAAGTCAACAAGAAGTTAGCTATTAGAAAGAGGTCTTCACACATTTGGTAAAGACCGGGCTCCTTTGCAAGGAGCATGACTGGACAGTGACTGCGAGAACGAAGGAACAGATGCCTCAAGCCATGTCCACCTGGCAGCATTTCCCTTCCTCCTTGAGTAGAGAGAAGTTAGTGCTACCACCCTGCAGATCACTCCTCACCAGCCTGCTTCCTTCTGACGTCAAATGCAAGCTGACCTCCTCTCACAGTATCAAGGGATACGTCCTCTCACCCGATGACTGTCACCAGCCCTCTGGTTGTATTTAACAATAGATTGAATGTACGTGGATCTATTGCCTCCTGCAACCTGGAGTTTGCTCTTTTCTGCATGACACAAGTAAAGCATCAGTATTTCCAAGCATCATTGTTTCACTCCCACTAATACCAGCAGTCACACAAATGCAACTTGAAACAGCCCCCTATGCTGACAAAGTTCAGTCAAAAAGGGAGAACTGACAGCTGACATTTTATGAAATGATGTATGTGCTGCCTCAAGTAGTAATTTTAGGGTAAAAATGACAGCAAATATCCTTTTTCAAGTGAAATATTCAATGCAGCATACACCTACCTGGAGCAGCTGTGCATCCCCAGTGTCTTCCTCATTTAACTCAAGACCGAACTTCCAGCAAGGACTTCCAACTTGGCAAAGAGTGCAATAATAGATTCCCTTTATAGACTTTTTAAGAGTGCTATTTGATCACACATCTTGAATGTTAGATATTTACCAAAGCCATTAGATTAAAAAAAAAAAGACAGCTTTGACTAGCTTTCAGAATAGAGTGATGAGAATATCTTTTCCTGGAAGCAGGAAAGCAACAACTGTATTTGGATGCTTAGTCTGTTGCAGAAGGGGAATGACTGTAAGCTCCCAGAGAACATTCGAGTTTCAGCCCCCCAAGTTCAGTTCTTCCATTTTGTCAGATCTCGAGGCAGAAGATAATTTCATCAAGTCTGATACAGAGGTTCTGGCTATTTCCAATAAAATTGCCTGAAAAAAGTTTCCCTAGGATCCTGAATAACCCGTGAGTGACAAGGATTGGCCAGGAAGAAGCCACAAAAGTAACAGGGTTTTATCTGCTCCTATTTTTTTCTGGCTAAATTTTTTTCTACCTAGAAAAAAGGGGGAAAGGCATGGAAAAAATGAGATCAGACAGATACTTTTGCTGCTTGCACGAATTCACTCATCTTGCTCTATCATTTTGCTTGCTCTCAAAGAAAACCGATCCAGGAAGCCCCTCAATTCCAGAAGATCATCTGAAATCTTTGCCTATGTAGCTCTCTTTCCCCCTGGGGACTGGCTCTGTTGACTTAACCAATTTGGTTTGACTTTCGCATAAGTGGCTAACACTAGAAATTTCCACCATCCACCCAGCGTTCAATGCATTACAAGCTCTGTTCTTAAGAGTACTTTTGAGTTCCTACCCCCATCAATTTTCAAAGACAGCTACTGTGCATTTGTCGCTTTGAATAAGGATAGAAATGAGAACCAGAGATGGGAAACAGATGTCTCAAGGCATTCTCAATCACTCTCAATCTTGCCCAATTTATATTTTCCCTCTTAATGGGAATCGACCTCTTTTCTCCAGACGAATGTAGGGTGCTCGTCTTCAGCCTGTCTGCCACACCTTCAGTTAGTTTCACTCAGCCTGCCTCTCTTACATTTCCCTTTGAAAAGGGATTTGGAGAAGAAAATCTGCAGGAAGCAGAGCAATCTGTGACAACCCTGCCCTTGGGTTTTCTGAGCAGAAATGCTCAGTGCTAACTGTTCGGAATTAAAATTCAAAACCAAGAACCAGAGAGACAGGGTCCAGGAATGGAATGACCTGGATACAGTCTGTTAAATACTTTTTTTTCAAGCTGACTAATAGGACAGTAATACACTTGCAGGTATGCCAAGTCCTACAGAGTTTCTGCTGCAACTGAGAACCTCTGAAAACCATTTTGTAGGTGGGAAAAAGGCAGGAGGGAGATAGCTGAGACAGATGTTTCTCTTCTCCAGAGGTTCTCAGCATTACTGAGACTTGTAAAAACACTCAAGTAATGGAGGCAATGTTAGGTTAGCAATGTCCTTTCTCTACAAATTGAAGCATTCCCAAGGAGGCTGAACTGGTACATGGAAACATTCTGTCTCGGGGCACATATCCAAAGGAAAACCAACTCTCTTCTGAAAGTAAACTGGGAGTTCTAGAAAAAATTCACAAAAAAGTGTGAAACCACAGGCACGACTGTCACCACATGTCAACCACTTCCTCACGTACAGCATAACCATCTTCCATACAGCTCATTAAACCAAGGAAAAGTATTACAGAAATCAACTGAGATTAGAAAAGGTACCTCAGAGTACTCTGCAACTGTAAAACTTTATCCTTCCAACCCCTTTCTTCCATCCCAACTTCACTAGCACCATTAGTATTCCAGAGAACTGTGATAAAATTTCCCTCACTTGTCAAAACATCTCTTACTTTGCAGTTGCCCCTCGATGTGCAAAGCAATTTGGATAGCTGTAGTGGGGCAGTGCTGGAACAGTACCTGCATATCAGTGTGATACATCCCACACAGATGCAGATGATTTTTCCTGAGCCCAATGCAATTCTTAGTCTCATCCCTGGCTGCGTTCTGAAACCAAAGGGTTGTTGCTAGAGATCCCCATCTTTTTTTGCAAAGATTAGAAAGGAGGTCAAAGCTGAATTGCAACTGTGGTTGAAAGTTTTAATCGCATGTCGCAGACCTGTGCATATACAAAAGGAAATCTGGGGCACAGGGAAGGACAAGACCTAGCACATCCATGTCAAAGAGGAGGAACAGAGTCAGACAATCCACAAGAGCACCATCAAGGCTGCAGCTCAAGTTGCCTGTGATCTTTAGTAGCAGCTGCGAAAAAATCAGGGCATAAAGAAGATGGAGCAAGTTGAAGGAGGGGCTGCTCTCCAACATGGGTATCAGCGTCCAGAACAGCCAGAGAAATGATACACCACCCCCTGACAGCTCAGCGCCGCAGCCCGGCCATCTGCTGCCCGGCTGCCTCCCAAAGAGGGAGGTTTCTCTGAGCTCCAGGAGAGGGGAGCTGAGGACTCCTCCCCCTGCCTGGCGATCCCAGTGGCTTTCCCCGGCTCGCAGGAGAGGCACCCTTCCCACTGCCAGGGCGTGGGGTCATGCTCTGCTGTCACAAAACCAAGCTTGGCCAGCATGTCCGGCTTCCCGGAGGGGCTCCTTTGGAGACCTCTGGAAGAGAGGGTGAAAATTTCACAGAGATGGTGGGATGTATGGAAAAATTTGGTCGGAGCTTCCGGTGTGCAGGCTTGGGAGGGAACAGCTGCATCCAGAGACCCCAGTCCCCCAGGCACCCTGTAGGGCAAACCCAACGTGAAATTCCTTCTGAGCAAACCCAGCACCCTCGGGGCTGGAATTATGTGTACACACACACACACACACTTATTTTTTTTATCCTCATGCCCAAAGGAAGCAGAGCCACTTGTGCTCTTAGTTTTAAAGACTCCAAAGTAAATCAAGTCTT